TCCCCATTTTTTTTCCATAATGGAAAGATGGGATCTAAAATAATTCATTTTTCATTAAAAAAAGTGTGTGAAATATAATACCATGGTATATCATCTTGTTCAAGGGTATAAAGGCAACTTTTCCAAATATGTGTTCTTGGAAGAAAGACAAAAACATTGCCTTGTAAAAAACAAGAAACAAAAAACAGGTATTTCCTTTGTTTTAAAATGAAACTGTAGCCTCTTTCCAGATAAAGCAATTGCTCCTTTTCAGCCATTTTTTAAAATATGTGCTTAATGTTTGTTGTGCTTTCAACTCAAAAACCATGGTGTCAGTGTTTTCATGGATCAAGTTTTAGAAGGAATTTCTCTGCAGTGACAGATAATGGAAAGTGGGTCTAGTGGGTTAGAAGATAAGAGTTGAGAGAGATGATAGATTAAACAGCACACAGCAATAAGGGATAGGCATTTGAAATGCAAGGACCCTACACTTATAGTTTGATCGGCCAGGATATAGTAGGGGGAGGGGGCAAAATGAAAGGTTATTGACTTCATGGTCTTTATTGGATGATTCTTTTGTATAGTGGAGAAATTTAGAAGATGAGTTCATAATCCAAATAAAGGGGGCTAGGAAATATACAGTCAAATATGGCATACCCAAGATATTTAACCAAAGGCTTCTAACAAGACAGAATATAAGCCTGCTGTTAAGGGCTTCCCAAGATGAGGAAAATAGGGTGGATAACGTCAACACCTGGTATAGGACTAAAGCCAGAAAGCTCTCATTCACCCTCTGAGAACAGTGTGTTGTTAGGTCCCCACAGGAGAGCTACCACTGACACTTAGCTACAGTTTAATAGGCAAGTAGGCATTTTATAATTAGAAAAATACAACAACCTGAGAGGCAAACAAAATGAGTTCTAATTTTACAGATGAATCCTAGAGGTAGAGGCTGACTGATGAACATCAAATTTTACCATGCTAGGTAAAACTTACTGATCCTGGAATGTGAAAGGAAAATCGAGGACCACAAAATGAAACCAGCTGCTCTATGACTCCCCAGGCTTTCTAACAAAATTATTGAATATTTACCACACCCAAATACTGTTAGGCATGATGGGAAAATCAACAAGCACATAAAACCTGTTCAACTTTGAGGAGGTTACAATTTGATATTTAGGTATCTGTATGATCTTATGGTATAGTAGTAAGCTCGAATCTTATCTCTACCACTTATTAAATTTAGGAATTTGGAATGGTTAACTTCTCTACCTTCCAAATCAACCTTTCAGGGCTGCTGTTAAGACTGGAGATATCAAATATTAATAGCCAAACACTCAATAAATGGTAGCTCTTATTCTGTGCTCATACACATAAACTATGCTCACTTTCACTTTCTTCAAATAAAGGAACAACATAAAAATTAGAACAAATTGATCAGTTAATGATTACAATTTTAATAAATAAAACTTAAGATTTCAGAGAAATATCACACACTTTCCCAAATTGGCTTCTATATAAGTATAGTTCCATAGATACAGACTACATAGAGAATAAGACTATGGAGTCTCATGTTATGATAAAAAATAATCAGCTTGAAAAGAATAGCCCCTTTATTGAATTATCATTTAAAACTTTAATACTAGGAGAGAAAATGGATTCAAAGAAATAGAGAATAATTAGAAATATAAAATAATTAGAAATATAAAACTTTCTTACAGAGATACTTCAGTTGACTTTCCCAAAGAAGGTGAATCTAAACAATAAGATAGATCTCTAGAGGAGAGAGCAAACTGAAAGGAAACTAAGGAGAATGCTAATATCTCTTAAGTAAAACAATCACAGCTTGACAGAGTATAACTTAGTGATTAAGAGCATGAATTCTGAAGCCAAAGTGCCTAGGTTCAAATCCCATCTCTGGGAAAAATACAACATGGCAGCAATGGCAGCACTTTTGACAACTTCTTTACTTCTCTATACATCAAAGTGGGAATAATATTAGCACCTTTCTCATAATACTGTTATGATAAGTTAATGTATACAAAGTGCTTAGAACAGTGCCTGGCATATAGTAAGGTCCAAACAAATGTGCTCATCATCATCACAATCATCATTAAAATTATAATTATAGATATGGTGAGCACAATTGTGAGAATCATGTCAAAAGAAGCAATTTCATAGAACTAAGATGGAACTTTCTTTTTGCATAATGACTAATTTGTGGTTGGTTAACTTACTTGGTGACAATGTTCTGCCAATTTGCCCAAAGTCGAAGGTTTGATTTTCCTGTGGGTCTGTTGGCTACATTCCATGGCCACATTAAGACACTAATACTGACCAGCAGTATTCAACATATTCTCCTGGTTTTAATAAAGTGGTGAGTAAGAAAATGTAAATGGATTAATATAAATTCATGAATAACTTTAGAAAAAATGAATCTATAAATATGTTCCTGTTGATCATAGTTCTGTCATATGGTCTTAATATGTCATAGGTTGTTAATTTTTGTAGAAAAAAATAGACTCAGAGACAAAAAGTGACTTAAACAAGATCACATGATTACTCTGTGCCAGAGCTAGAACTCTCAGCCCATATAGCTTTTTGTTTGGTTTTTCCATTAGCCTACATTCATTAAATATAGAATGTTTTTATTATCGTTTAGAACTTCCTATTTAAAAATTCTTCTGTTATTATAGTTTATTATGCCATTATGAAAAACTTATCCCCAACAACAGAAGTGGGATTTTAAGGCCATGGTGAGACTTATGAGAAAAATGGGGGGGATGTGGCAAAGGTCAATTAGGATAGAATTTATCCCTCAGAAAGTGGGAGAATCAAACATCTGAAGGGAAAGCTAATTCTAGGTATGGTGTAGTGTTACTACTTGGCTTGGTTCCCTGTTTAGCTCCCTATGGACTCATATCTGAACTGATCTCTCTCCCAGGGAAGGGAGATAACTGTGAACCAAGAATAAGAAAAGGCCATTTTCCCCCAAATCCTCTAAGATATGAGAGCAACAGCCAATACCACTCTAACAGACCCTCGAAGAATATAGCCCGGAAAGGCAGAGAAGCAGCAAGAGGGGCATAGCTTTGGCATCTCAAGGGCTCCATGAGTCACTGGCAATAACCACTGGCACGGGGAACAGCATTCTCAGAAGTTCAGGTGTTCACTGTTATGACAGTTCCCTAGAATGTGTCAGCAGGACCCAGCAGAGGTAGGGCAGAGACAGGAGGAATAAAAGAGGTAGATATCACATGTAGCTGACCTCTTCATGAGCAAGCATATGTGAGACTCAGAAATACTTGTATGAGCTCAGCTGTATTGCAGGTAGGCAAGAGCCAGAGAAGGAAGTTTACATCACCATCTTCGTTCAATTTTTAAATAATCATGATGGAATGAATCCTTTACACTCCAAATACTCACTGCAACATTTGTAAAATTATATTTCACAATTAGGCAGTCTGTATATCCCAAAGCTCACATATTTGCCACATCTCTTTAAGCTCTCCAGAATCCAGGTAGATAGTGTCTTTATGGATATTAAAGAGAATGAATTCTGAAAACACAGACAATTGTTCTTTTGAAAATCATAAACAATTACCCTTCATAAAAGCAGTCATTTTACAAAATTAATAAAAAGGGCTGAATATCTGTAGGCCACCTGTCCTGGTACATATATTACCGACCTTATGCTACATAACACTTCAACAATGCTGCTTACCTCCTTTTCACTCATAAAGGAAATAATATTCCTTTTTAAGACTTTTTCAAGACTTGCTTTCTTAAGCGGTCTCACACAACTGCATCATATCGAAGAAGCCAAAATGACATTTTGTGACAGTGTGCCAATTCAATTATACTTAAATTCAGTAATTTTCTTAATCTTGAATTATATTTTGATCTTGATTCCATATCTCCTCATGAGAGAGTACTTCTTTGTTTCTTTATTTTTTTAGTTGTATTTATATCCTACCTTCTTCTCTAAAGCCTTTGAAGTGTCCTGTACCTCCAGTTCCAGATGATGATGAGATTAGTGTTACTACTATTGCAGTCATTACCACAAGTTCAAGGACAGAGGGAAAAGTCTGGAGAGGATGTCCATACCATTACTACTTAGCTTCCTAGAGAAGAGAGCCAGGGTTTGAGGTATTTCAACAGGTGAGGTATAGATTTTATTCTAGCCAATAGAGGAGATGGAAAGAGAAAAAGCAATCTGGAAGATGAGTATGACAAAGTCAGGGATCAGTGGAGACTTTCATTTAGGTAAACTCAGTAGGTTCCTTGGAAAAATTTAGCAGTTCCTTTGTGCAAATATTATAAGTAGGCAAATTAAACAAGATACCTGTTACGTCAAAAACCCTATGAAAGATGCAATGATACTGAAAACCTATTCCCACACAAGTACATATGATCTAGAAAGAAGAGCAGAGGTCTTGGAAGCCACCACCTGCTATTTCAGGAGTCACATACTGAAAGCATCACTCAGCCATCCCATGCGTGTAAAAGAGCACATTATTAAGATCCACAGCTCAGCTGCATATTTTCACTTGCATTTAGCCAGCCCTTTAAATTTTGTATCTTCCTATATATTTCCATCTTCACTGCTACCCTCCATCCACCAATGCTCCATTAAGATTCTTATGTTTAGGAAGTGTGAAGACATAAGCATGTGTGTGATTTGAGGGCCAGAGGATTGGAAGGGGCCTGAAGCACATGAAAAGAATAATTCTTCAGAACAAAACATTCTGGCAACCTTTTTCTGAAGTAGTCTCATCATCTTGTCATTGACTACCCTACTCTTGTCTAGCAGGAAAATGATGATAGCCCCACTCTCCATGATCCAGAGTTAAGGTTCAGCCCAGCAGAGAACATCTTACCCTCTCTGGAGTCAGGAAATCCAGATTTGTGAGAACAAGCATATGTGGACCAAAGTGTGTGTGTGTGTGTGTGTGTGTGTCTGTGTGTGTGTGTGTGTGAGAGAGAGAGAGAGAGAAAGAGAAAGAGAGATTGAGATTTACCTTCCAATGAGCGAGAACTCTCCCACGACGCCCAGGCGCCTCATGGCACTCAGGAGGCCTCGGACCGTCATGCCTTCACAGAAGCAGACCACCACTCTGGCTTTGGGAAGCCTCTCCCGGAGCTTGCGCAGGAGTCGGTCAAAGCTCTTTTCCCCAGCATTGCTGTAGATTTTGTCTGAATGGGCGATGCAGAGGCCTTCCTGGGCAGCCAGCTCTTTGAAAGCATCCATTCCGCTCTCCCCATAATTCCCTGTCCAGAAACAATCAGCAGATGTTCAAGACAACCTGGCAGCACAGCACTTACAAGCTGGAATAAAGACTTGTTAGTCACAAGGAATGGAGAGGACAGACTTGCCAAATAATTTGTAAATATAACTGGAACTGAAGGAAGATCTGGATGGATTCAAGAGAGACATCAAATGCAATCAAGCCACCAACACTGAGAAAATAATGAGAAACTATCTAACCAGGGCATCCACAGTGAAACAAGTTTTGAGAAATGAAGGACTACTGCCCTATTTTACAACAGTGATTGGTAATGGTTGTCACAGATTTTTAGCAATGTGGGAGAGATTGGCACATTGGGTAGGCGGTCAATCAGCACCATGAGAAGGCCTCTTCATTTGAGGGCTCACTTCTGCTGGCTGCCAGTCAAGAGGCAGACACTCACGGTGGTGGCAAACCCTGCGACACTTCAGGAAGAGTAAGCTAAACAAACGGGACACCTGGCCCGGCCAGAATAAACAGACAAGAAGCAGATACGTGGTTTAGTCAAAATCCACCATCCTCTGATGAAGCAACAGGATTATGGGAGTTTTGGCCTTACGTTCTGATTTTTATTTTAATATCATTCTTACAATAAAATATACTTTCAAAAACTAAGAACACATAAAAAATCAATGAAACAAAGCAAATATTCCATTGTGCCAGCTTCCTATTTCTCTATTTCACTGATGACTTTAGCCCCCACCTTAATGTCCTCTATACCTCTACTCTTTTCCCCAAGTTTGGGGATTTTGACACCTGTGTAGATGATCCAATACCATGTCCTCCAAGTTTCTCAACCCCCTCCAACCAATAATATTTCCTGTAACGCACCTAATCCCATAGCCACACTTTTGACCTTGTTGTCACAAATGTTTCTAATATCTCTGAATGTGGATGTCAAACATCCCACTCTCTTTACCCCCTCTTCTCTTTCAAGCTCATATATTCTACTACCCCCACTCCAAGATTTCTTCAACTTTATCACCACCTCAAACCAATTCACCTCCCCATCTTTCTTTCCATCCTTCCTCTCATTTGCCTCTTAGTCCAGCTCATATCTCATACCCTATCCTCATAATCACTCCCTTACAAATTCTTTAACGGCCTTGTGTCTTCCTAACAAAACCCCAGTGCTAGTTAAACCCAACCATTTACCTATTCCACCTGTACACCTGAGGACCTAAGTATGTCTAGAAAAAACTAAAAATCTTGATGACTGGCTAATTAAAAATTCATGAGCATTCATGCCAAAAGAGGCATTCGATAGTGCAAGGAAATTATACTACATCTCCTCCATTAATAAAATCTCCTAGTCTCCAACATGATTATTTCATCCTTACTCTTCCCTCCTTAAATCTCCAAACTTACTGACCCCACCTCTGACCCTCATCTCAGCTGGGATCCTCATTTCATATTTCAACAAAGACACAGAAATAATCAGACAAAAACTAACTCAGCCATACACCACATCTACAAAGCTTTCTTTGTTGGCACTTATTTCTCTGGCATTCCTCCTATTGTAAATTTGAAGTGTTTTTGCCTGAGGATAGAGCCAACTCCTACTCATAAACACTAGGTCTCACTGCTTTCTGTCTATTCAAGAACTTTTTCCTGCAATTATCCCCTCTCTTTTGTAAAAATCAGTTATTTCCTTCCAATGGTGTTAATCAAAAATAAAAGCATTTGCACTTTTTTCCCCACTTAAGTTACTACCTCATTCTCTAGTCCTATTCATAGCAATGATAAATGCCTAGGTCAATGGTGTTTGCTTCATCATCTCCCATTCTCTTCCCATTACCTCAGAATCTTCTTCTGTCAAACTCTTCTCTTGTCAAGGTCACCAAAAATTTCCCTGTTGCCTATTTCATGATCTGTTCTCCGTCTTCATCTTCAGTAACCACTCAGCTGCACTCAACAGCTGACCACAGCCTCCTTGAAACACTTTATCCTCTCAGTCTCTGTGATACACCTTCTCATGGTTTAGTCACCACTCACTGACTACTCCTCAATGTATGTGCTAGATTTTCCTCTGCTCAACCTCGAATATTTTCATGCCACAACCTGATCTCTTCTTCATCTCTACTCTCACCCTAATACACTCATTCAGTCACATTCCTTTGAAGACCATTTGAATATTATAGTTGAATCCCAAATATAGGTCTTCAGACTAGATTGCCCTTTAGAGCAAAAGATTAGAATATCCAATTGCATCCTTGATATATCCATTCATAGACATTTCAAACTTAACATATCTGAAACAGAATTTTTTCCCTCTCCACCTTGCAAACCTGCTCTTTCCAGACATCTGCAGTTAGTAAATAATGCCGTTACCCACCCCATTGCTCAATAACGAAGTTTAGGAACTCTCGATTTCTATCTTTCTCTCATGTTCCAGGTCCATTCCACAGACTCTATCTCTCAAACATTTCTAAGCCAGTCTCCTCCATTTCAACCTCTGCCATCCTAAACCAAGTGTCTTGGGTCAGGTTTCCTAAAAACATAGCTGAGATGAAGATTCTTGTTCAAGTTATTTATTGAGAAGAGGAGCAAGAGAATCTGTGAAGGACAGGTGGCGGATGCTAAGCAGGAATGTCATTCAGCTAGTGATTAGCTTTAGTTAATTCCATAAGGAAGTGCTACAGCACAAACTGTAGCACAGAGTTAGCCCCACCTTTAGGAAACAGAACCCTCCTGTCAATCAGTCATTGGCTAAGGTCCTCAATAAGTCAGGGGAGGTATAGCCTCCCAGAAAGGGGTCAGCTGAGATTTACAAAAGCCTACTTTCACAGTAGCTGGGAGAATGGTGCACAAGACAGATAGCGAATCTGGGCAGGCCACTGACGGGCATCCTCTATTCTAAGTAACTGATAGGTCCTCTATCCTCTATTCTAAGTAACTGATAGGTTCTTGCCTAGACAACTGCCCTACCCCCTGATTGTTCTCCCTGCTTCTACTCTTGTTCCTAATGATTCATTCCACACATAACAGAGTGATCAGTCAAGATGGAAATCAGGTTATATCACACCTCTTCAAAAAGCTTCAATCACTTCCCAACACACTTGGAATGATACCAAAACTCCTTTCCCTGAACTACCAGCCTTTACCTGGACTGAGCCTTCCAACTTGCCCAACCCCATCTCTGCCCACTTCCTCTCCCCCACCTTCTCTAGACCCATAGATGTCTTTCTATTCTTGGAATACCCTAAACTCATTCATGCCTCTATGTTAGCTGTTTGTATCACCTGAAAAGATGATCTTCTACAGATGTTCTTGTCAATCTTGTCTCAATATAAATACCACCCCTTCTGGAAAACCCTTCTTTATCAGTTAGCTTCAAGTAACCCCCCAGCAAATCCTGATCATGTCTCTTTATTTTATCTTAGAACATATGTCTGACATTTTTCTTGTTAATTTTTCTTTTCCCCCCTTGAATATAAGCTCCATGAGAACATCTTTTTATGTCTTATCCAATGATGTATCCTTAATCTTTACAATAGTTCTAGACACTAAATGCATAGTAAAAGTGCATTTGTTTTAACAGCACAATAGAGAAAGGAGCAAAAGTTATAAATAAGCAATTTAAACAAAATAAGTAAAAGTGGGTGATAAACAAATGAAAAAAAATTACTGAATATCATTAACTATCAAAAGAGTGCCATTAAAACCAGATAGTTTTTTTTTCACCTATTAGATTGCCAGAATTATAAAGATTAATAATATTTAATGCTGGCAAGACACAAATACATTTACTTTTCATGAAAGCAATTCAAACTTTTGGTAGACAATGTGGCAGTAGTTTTCAAAATTTTTTAGGTATCAGTATACAATATATATAGTATACAATATGTAAGGTAATAGTTAAGTCAAAATAATTGTAAAGGAATGATATCCCCCCAAAAAAGGACTTAGGACTTAAATCTTAACATCTATAAAACTTTTGTGGGCACTGTAATGAACCTCATAAGATTTTCCTATATTGTTGAAAGGTAATCTTTCTCATTTCCTTTTTCATAAGATTAAAATATCAATTAATGTATTTGCCTTTTAATTTAACCACCTTCAGTGGCCTAATGCAGTCCAGTGAAGCCCAAATGGGAGCATTAATTTGTCACAAAATCCTCAGCTCCACAGACTTTGGAAACACATCATGGCTCAGACAAGAGGCAGTGACTGATTATAAGGGAGAAAACTCTGGCTGGCAGTGGATGCTCATCTGTCTGCAGAAGAGTGTTTGAGAAGGACATCAGATGCCACTTTCCCATAGTAAATGCATGTTCAAGAATCTACAAGGGACACAGACATCACTAGCCAACTCTCTCAGCGAAGGCTCTATTAGTCTGTCAGAAGATGGTGTTACAAGGGCAGTAACTTTATTGCTAAAGTCCCATCCTTAGATTTCAATCACAGAAAAGTATTTTATTCCCTTATCAAAATACATACAGACTGAGCAAGAATGTTCTATGCATTCAAATAAGAAAATCTTTGTTTTTTTAAATCTAGTAAAGGCCTTAGATATAATCTGTCCAAACATTTCAGGTTACAGACGAGGAAACTGAACCACACAGGGGCAATGGCTCACCAATGGGCACGAAGCTTGTCTGTGTTAGAACTAGAGCAGTTTTAAATGACTTGAGTCCTAGGTTACTGCTCATTTTTCTTAATAGTTAAATCAATTAAATGTGTATGTTTTTATAATAAAAAATGTCTGCATAGGTCAATTGGTTTCATGAAATATTTGTCCCACTTTCTGTATTCATATTTTCTCATTTGGATAGCAGTTCCTCATTATAGAAATTGATAGCCGAATATCATGCATTGGGCCATGTTTCAACTGCCCATTTTTCTCATGATGCCTAAAAGACTCCAAATTAGCACATAAATTTCCATGAGAGCAGTTCTAATATAGGAACAACAACAATAACTTGTACTTTTATAAATCTTTATACTCTAAAAATTACATTCACAAACATTATCTGATTCTTA